ACAAGTGCAATATTTCAGTCTAATATCTCAGGGTCGTCGGTGTGCAATGCGTCGAGTGAGGTTCAAAACCTGACGCATTATGGCCTACGGCACACCTTGACCTCGGCTCGCGGAGGTGCCCCCGAAAGCCATTTTGCCATGCGCGGTGTTCAATTTCACGCGAGGGAATATCGAGTTTCCATGCATTACGCAAGCGGCACGCACTCTCGCGACGCGGCCTGTCACGTCGCGCGATGCAAGATCCGGTCGAATCCCATCCTCGTCGCGACGATGACAACAATGCCGGCAATTCGTCGCTAGTCATAATTTCGCACGTTTCTCTGTCCGCGGTTTCCGAAATCCCGGCGACCGGAATCGATTCCGCTAATTGAGACGCGAGACCGAGAGGTGCAAAGCGCCGGCGTGTTCCTCCCGGATCTCGCGCGAATAATTCATCGCGCATCGATTGAACGGCGCCTACAACGTTACTGCTTTAGAATTCATTAGGATGTATTATGCACCGTGCGATTAAAGATCGCAGACGTCGGGACCCGATGGATCGAAGCGTGAGTCGGATTGACTCCGAGAGAAAGAGAGAGAGAGAGAGCCAATTTCGAACGTCTCAGACGCGACTTATGTCCAGTCACGCGCGGTGCGATATCCTTTCCATTGGAGAATATCATCCTTGAAGTCAACAGAGGCCCCGAGGTCGCATAACGCGCGAATGTGTGCCGTACTAAAAATATTCTCGCGCGAACGACGAAAGACGTGAAAAAATTGTTTAGCTTTCACGCTTGAGTCGTGTACCTTTCGCGCCGCAATTTTCGTGCGCATTATTCCTTCCTCACGTCCGCGAAACAAACACGTTTGGTGGAGCTGTGCATCGTCCGTTAGAAACGCGAAACACGTCGTGTTAATTAAAAACAAATAGCGTCGTTCCAAGAATGTGGTCCGCGTTTCTCGCGCATGTTATTTATTACATTATGGTAGATTATCGCGTAAGCACGGATTTAACGCATAATTACATTGATTCGATGCAATCGATTATATATGCTTTCCGTACTTGAATAATAGAGGGAAAAATAAGTTTATTTCCTGTAAACCACGGAAGGAATCTATTAACTTTAATCGACTCGATTACGAGCGGTATCGATCTGATATTCAACTTAAAGTCGACAGGTGTTAAGGCGGGACACACTTTTGCATTATACAACGCGCCTTATCGTAACTTGGACGCGAAGTAAACGAGGAAGCAACCTGCTGGCCGCGTCGATGTCATTAACCCTTGCGGATTTGTCGAGTACACACACATACACGTATACCACACCGGTCAATAAAGTATTACATCCGTTTTGGAGACGCAGAGAACCCCGAAGTATGATAAAAACCCCGCTGACCCGAATAACTTCAATCGATACTCGAAGACCCTTGAAACTAAAATGAGACGAACCCCTCCTCGAAAACGAAACGAGTACTCTTCCGTATCCTCCTCGACATCTTTTTTGTTCGAAAAAATTTTGCTCGAATTTTTTACAAGGACGTTTCTACGTGTATTCGTTCCCGAAACATGTATCGGATTTCCCTTTTAAATAAATCCTATATTGTAGTATTTGTTAGTATCCGTTATTGTATTGTATGCCTCCTCGTATTGCAAAATACCATACATATTTCTTTGCAGAACTAGAGAGCAATACTGTCCTTTACGCGGTGTTTTAGTATCCGAACGTTCATTAATCAATCGCGTAATGTTTCACAATTACATTGTGAAAAACGGAGGATGATAAATGAAAAGAAGACTTTGGCGAATTCAAAATGGGACACCTTGCAAAAAGTATTAATAAATACATAAATCTATTTACGATATCTATATTAGATTTTTAAGGCCGATCTTCACAGTTGTAAATTATTTACAATCTTTGATTAAAAACATAATTAATTATAAGTTCATGTTCATGGGTCGTTATTTGACTTTTTGGACCAATATTTCTCGTTAAATAAAACGATAGAATAAGTACAGGTATGTGTGTGTGTGTGTGTGTGTATATATATATCAATGAATAATTAGAGAATAATTAAAAATTAATGAAGATATAATTATTTATTAATTATTTATTAAAGTATGACGGGTAATGAATGCTGGCCTAAATTTCGATTCGGGTCTCTTTATTTTCTCGGATCTCTTTATTTTTGTCTAGATTTATCAAACATCCTTTAAAAACAGTAATTTGCTGTATAACAAATGATGTGTCACTGCCCATGTCCTGATGTTCTATGTTCTCCACCCTTAATGAATTCCTGGCTAATCACCTAGTGGCTCTGTTGTGACACCGATATTGCCTCCGATATTCAAACAGACACGATTCGATCGCAAATATACGTGTTAAATAACACAATGCCGATAACGCGATATTAAATATTTCAAGGGCCGACGAGATATTTTAGTCACCCAAGGCGAATGATAACGTACCGATACACGTTGACCGTGGTGTGTTTGCCGGCTCAAAGCGTAATAAACATTCAAAAAAGCACGCAACCATAAACAAGTTCGACACGAAGATGTATTTAAGTTTTGAAAGTCCGAAATGTTTTGCTTATTGTTGTGATCACTCGGTGATGATGGGACGATAGGGAGAGGTAAATTTACTCTTTTTGCCGACTGTTTTCATGTTCTCACGCGTCGCATACTTTTTTATGTGTTCAGATGTTACATTACGCTAACACAAAATATTTCATCGGCTTTTTGAAATATTTACTAATCGAATTCGCGTATCAGCATACCGCATTAATTAATATGCGTTTCTCCGATCAAATCATGTACGCAAATGTCAATGCCACAAAGTGTATCATCGGGTAGTAGTATCTACGGGAACATGACAGCCAAGAACAGGAAGCCAACACGAAAGATGCAGAACGCTAGGACACGAGCAGTGATATATCACATCTCTAGATATATCAAGCGGTACAGTAGTGCTGCGACATCAAAAAATAATAAATGAATATTTCATATATATTTTTTCAACGCCAATACAAAAAAATAACAAAGAGGTTATGAAAAGGATAAAATTTGTTATTTTATTTCTTCATCAATTATATTTGCTCACTAAATTTTGTTAAATTATTTAATACTTGCTTTCATACATGTTCTACCTAGTAAGTAGGTTACATAACATTAATTATTAATACATCGATTATTAATTATTAATTATTACGTACTTATTAAAATTGAGACTAAATATTAAATGCGGATAGAATATTGAAATATTCGAATATTAAATAATTATGAAATAAATTCTGTTTTAAAGACCATATGGAGAAAGTGATATTAAACAAATATTTATTATGTTAAGACAATATCGTTCAAGTTCAACGGAATTAGTTTAGCTAACACGGAATCAGAATTTTGACTGGAAAAGCGCCGTGTCATCCGCGAGTATAATTATCTGTTAATGCCGCCAAACGATCTAACGCAAACGATTAAGGACAATCTGATAATTGGTGCGATATACGCTTTGTTACTTAACGGCGGGACTTCACACTTCGCGTGAAGCACGCGAAATCTCAAGCCAAGATTCTTCAATTTTTACGAATATTGAACGAGACGTAAAATCAGAGCGATTTAATCGCATTGTTCGTCGAGATTATTTATGTTTCATGCAAGCGCACTATGATTTTCATAAAAGAAAATAAACATAGTAATACCATTTTGCGTATGCTTCTCTAACGGCTTAAGTTTCCTCACTCTTGGAAAATTAAACACGTTGGAGATCGCTTTTATACATGTGCGCGCGCGCAATTGGCGTTGAAGCGCTTTGACGGTCTGACGCTCCAGTTCTCATCGGCGTCTTATCAGAAAATATGCAAAAGCTGTTATGCTTAGCGGAACGCATAACTAAGCAACCTCGTTCGGCGCGCCGAATACGAAGTGTAAATATTACTTGCTATAACTCGCGCGCTCGAAGATTTCACGCGCGCAATCCAGATTGTTACAAGTCTAAAAATCGCGTCCGTGATAATGAACGCGTCGGGCGCGCGCTACCGGTGAACGCGAAATACCGCGGAAATGCGCATCTTAGAGCTCGCTGTTTCTCCCTGGAAAATTGGTCCCGTTACCTCGGTGGAAGCAGCCGAAACCGTTTACTCACTTAAATCGAGATACTTGAATTTCAGGTGCGAAAACATCTCACGCGGAAATAGTCGGGCCTTCGGCGCGAGAAGTGAAAAACCTTCTGATCGGGTCCTCCCGTGGCGCGGACGGTGCCACTTTCGGAGGTTCATCCCGACCTATTTCGAAGGGGACGACGCCTCCTCTCGTGTGTTCTCTCACTTTCTATCCCCAAGTCTCACCTCGATAAACCAGTCCGCTCGACGTGCTCTCGCGGAACAACGGAGGAGAGGAGCTCGCGGTCGAGCAAGACGCTGTCGTCCGTGTAACGTGTTTAAAAATAAAGACTGTCCGCAAGCAAGAAAGAGAGAGCGAGCACACAAGCGAGCGATCGGCCTCGCGCGCGCGGAAGAACGCCTTCCTGCTCCGATAATCGAACCGAATCCCCGACACAATCGCAGTCGCGTCCCTGCAAGGACCCCCGGCGATTATTATTATAACCATCGCGCAGGACGACCCGATAGTTCGCTCGACCTGGACATCGGCCACGGGCCGGACGATCGAAACGTCCCGCGTCATTAGCGGCGGGCGATCGCGGCCAATGAAAGCGCGTCTCATTACCGATAATCGAGAGAGCCGCACGCTCGGATTCGACGTGTTGGGCAACGCGGCGTCCTCCTCCTCCTCCTCGCCGGATGCGGCCCGATAAAAGCGCACTCGTCATCGTACGCCTCCAGCTCGCCCGCGTGAAAACGCTCATTGTAAACAACATCGCGAAAATATGGCGATTCCCTGGCTACGGCGGGGGGAGACCCTTCGCAGCTTCTCCGATCGCATCCCGCTCTCATGAAATGTTCCCGGGACGCGGAGACACAATAAGAGCGAGAGGGAAGCAGCAAGACAAATAAAAAATATTTACCCACTTCCTCGGCCGTGCGGCTCGCCCAGGCAGGATGCGCCGTCGGTGGAATCGAGATCGCTCCCGTGGAAATACGCGCGACACGTCGCAGTCTGTCTTCCTTCCTCGGTCGTGTGTTCTCGTACTTACGTGCGTACGTAACGTGCACGAGTAAAAACGCTGATACACTTTCGTCTCTCTTCGCGTCGAGAGAACGACCGGTCGATCGCGAGAGCGCGCTCGATGAATAACAGCCGGCACACTGCGCGTGCAATTTTTGCGCGCGTAAGTGTCGCGGGAAACGTACACGCGTATCGTACGCCGTGCGTGAACGCACAGCCCGACGGGAGAAACACGCGCGATAATAAGTCGGCGACAGCGACGGCAGCTGCGGCGATCGGCGCGACGGATTTACGTAGGCTGACCGTGATGTATTTCTCTTTCTCTCTTCCCCTCTCTCTCAGTGCCGGTGTATGTCCCCGCCGCGCGGACAGCCGCCAAGTGTCACTGGCACGTACGCGATCGAAACAACTTGAGTCGGCGCGCGAACGTGAAACGAGAACATCCGCACCGCTCGGTGGTTCCGACGCAACTGCCGTTGCGCTGCGCGCGCCGCTCGAGCGCGCGTATCTTTGCGAATCGGCGGCACGATTCTCCGAATTACCCGTCGGTCAGAGCGAGCGCGACTGGCTGCTCCGCCGATTTGTAACTGTCAGCGACGCTCGTCGGTATCTCGATCGTCGAAAAGGGAGACGATCAATGATGGCGAATCGGCGCGGTGCTGCGTAACTTCGGTGCCCCGAGCAACGTGAAATCGCGTCGACTCGATAGTTAGCGATGTTCTCAAACGTTTCCCCGATTCTTTCAATTCGTCGGAACATCGTTCGCACGGTGCAGTATTATTCGGTAGACGTGTCTCGCAAGTGGGATTCGCGAAGATGATTAACGAATGAAGTACGCAGGTATGTATCCCTCGGTAATGTAGAAATCGCTGAATGCAAATTGTGATGCGCGCGTTGGTCATCTCATAAATATTATGCTTCTTGCGGAATAACAGGATTTCTTGTGAGTTTCAGAAAGCAAAAATGAAACTGTGAAATTTGTTGTAAACTTACAAAACGTTTAAATTCAAACGCTAAAGGTAAATTTGGCGTTTTTTAAACGTCATTTGAACGTTATTTAAACAATTGTCGTATATTTAAGGTTAAATTTAGATACTAAGTATATATTTTGGATTGAATTAAGATATTTTCTTGTGTTCAATTAAATTTGAAATTATAAATGCGCAAAATTCCGTATACGAGTGCAAATTTAAAGAATGCATACATATAAAGTATATGAGAAATAGAAATCCTTAATTTGAACATATGTGTTTTAGACTATCTATAAAATGTGCGAAATTACCTGCGGCTTTATTTTTATACTTTTTACCGTCATTTTTTCGTGTGTTATTCGCTAAATATGTGTGTAATCTCAAATATAGTACGATGGAAGATAAAGTACATGAATCAAGATAAGAATCAGCTGTCACGTGTAAATTAACCTTTTTAAATAATATAACGGATACGGTTCACAATAATATTCGCACAATATTGGTTCTTTTCATTTTATTGTACCAAAAAATTGCATCTTGTTCAATCCATCGTTAATTCAATATAATATATTCATCATTNATATATATATATATATATATATATTTGTTATATCTTATTTATAATAAATATTTGTATAGTAGCGTAATGTTCATTGTTTGTCAATGTTTATTGTGTTCATGAACCATGAGAACGTGGATTCAGCGAGTTCGTAATCATCGTCACTGTGCTAACTAGAAAGACGTTCTGTGTGATTGGTCAGATTCGGGAAATCTGTCTGGTAAAGCACACACCAGATCGTCATTTTTTTTTGTCTTATCTCCGTTTTGCTTTGTTTTTTTTTTATTTCTTTCCTTCTTCCCCTTTTTTTTTGACTTTTTCGGAAAGGCCGGATTGTATCGAAATAGATTTTCTCTCTTTTGGCATACTCTCGTCGTCGATAGTTTCTTTTTGCTGGCGCGGTACACCAGCATCTTACACAGACGATTCATACATCGAAACAATAGGTACCTAAGGAAATTTTATATCTAGCTTTAAGGCGCCCGTTCCCTTAAATTCGTCCTTTAGAATTATCTCGCCGGATCGGTCGCGGATTCTCTCTACAGCGTGAATCCGAAGAAAACGAATCGCTCACCTATTTTCAGCGATATTAAACGTACGCCGCTAGAATAGCTACACGATAGTAATCACACGAATTCTCGGCTCGACGTTACACCACGTCGAGGGACTTATTCGTCAGCCTATCGGAGATGACTTCTAAAGCTCGTTAATTGACAAAACACTCGATATATTCAACGTTGGACCTGAGAAAAAAATCAATTTCAAGCGACATTATGGCGCTCTCTCTTTCTTTCTATCCCGTATCATTTTTGGACCACGTGTCTTACTCCGTAATTAATCTCTTTGCGTACGAGCTTCCGAGCTTTAGCGGGAAGCTTCAGGGCCGCATCATGCGTTTCTGTGTGAAGTATATCGCTTTCGTGCGAACGTAAATCCCGCGGCTTCGCGAAATCCCCGACGACGACACACACGTTAGAGGTATCTAACGACGAGAGCTTCGTGGAAGTTAAAATGAGAAGAAAAGAAGAAGAAGAAATACCTGTGAAAAAAACCGCCTCGTTATGCGTCAACGCGCGCGCTCGTACCATCTCCGAAATGCATCGCTCGCGTCGATTCGCCGTGACTAATTCAAGGGTAGCGGGTCCTTCACGAGCCGAAGCAGCGCAGCTAATTACCATATACCGTAAGAAAATATATGTACCTCTACAGACACCAATAATTCGATCTCACGATTGTACATGGAACATAGAAACGGTTCCCGAACAAATCACCTCCGAACGAGTGTGTTTCAAAAAACTTCACCGTCGTCACTACATTAGTATCTTATTTTTTTTGTTCTTTTATAAAGCTTTACTTTGCCGGTTAATTAACGGATATCTCGTCGATTCCCCGTAAAAAACCCTGCAGTACAGCAGCCTTTGCGCCAATTATCCTCGAGAGCTCTTTTTTTTTCCCCGTCGCGAACGCTAAACAGTAGTAAGTCGAATCGAACACATTGCGAGGTGCGGGGGTTGGTTCTCTTTTTTTTCTTTTTTTTTTTGTTCTTTTTATATATCGTTCGGCAACAATTTTGGTTTTAGCAGCTCTCTCGCGGTCACGCTCTTTTGTGATATCGTCCCGAATCGGTATGGCAGTGACTAGGAATCACTGGGGGAAACGTAACTTACTGCAGAGTTAATGACGATCGTCGCGTCACTACCACGAGTTACACAACTCCTTAGATTTATACGACGCTACATGTGTACGTTCGAAAAAAGGATCTGTGCTACCAGCGATATCGAAATCTATATCGAAAGAGTACGGTCTCATTCGTGTCGAGTGAACTCGCGATCGAAGGATCGGTCGATGGTCGCGGATCCTTCGATCTCCCAACTTCTTCACGGCGCGCACCGAACGACGTTTTCTTCTTTCCTCTCTTTTTTTCTAATTTCTCCTTTCATCATTTGTTTCGTGCTACCTCAAGCGATGATCAACGATCGTGATAAAATGTCTAAATCGAATATGAACCGAGTGTCTCCGGATCATATTCGCTGTTGGTTCATTTACGCGATAATTTCGATTTTTTAAATTACAAGTCCCGGATTTCGTTCGGTAAATATAAACGACGGGATTTTTCGCGCGTTCCTCGGCGTGTAATATATTTTTATACGTCTCTGCGACATTCGGTGGAGTTTGTGCTTTTTCTGAAATTATATATTATAATTAAACGTGGTTGCAAAAACACGTCGTAGTGCGGACCGCCAAGAAAGTAACTCCCCTTACGCTTTGTGCTTCCCCTTGTACCTCTCTCTCTCTCTCTCTCTCTCTCAAAGCCTATCACCGTATACTTGAAATATTAAACTCTTATCATTTCCAGATGCATAAGCGAGCATAAACTTCTTATTCCGGAGAACACGTCCCCTCTTTCTTCCCGATTCTCCCTCCTTCTCTCTCTCTCTCTCTTCGTCACGAATCGCATTTAATTAGATCATATTTATAATCCATTAAAGCAACTCCGCCTGTTCGCGGCGATAATTTCATGTTATTGAGCGCGAAACTCATCACATCGCGTTATTTATTTCGCTCGGACGCCGTAGAAAATGGTCTCGCTTATCTACGTGGAAACGGTTAAGGTATGCTCTCGCAGACTCGATGAGTAATGTAAGCAGTAATAACACACGTGGAAGTCGTCCATTACGTTGAACGTCGATATCGCCCGAAGCAATAGTAACGCCGCGTGCATATTCAGCGGGCGAAAAGATTCGACGAACAACAAAAGTGTCACGGAGTTTGCGTGGTCAAAAATGGACTTTTATGTGTGCGTGTGTATATGTTAATTAATTATTTCAATCCCACAATTGAATTATCGAGCGATGCGAATTAAAGAACGGGTGGTTCGAGAGAACGAGTCCAACGATTGCATTTTTTTTATTTGCATTCACCGCGTCGCTTAAAAAAAAGATAAAGAAAAAGGAAAGAAAAACAACCGACTATCGCTTTGCGACAATGTCGACGTCCACTGTCTAATTTGCAGTAAACGTACGGTTAGATCATTAGATCATCGTTCTAACCGCTGGATCTAAGCTGGGAGATCAGAGAGTGATCCGATTTCGACAGAAAACGAATTGCTATCGCAGGTCGTGGTGAATAATTGCCAATCAACCGTCGGAATTCGGATTTTCAGGCAAATTACATTCAAGTATCTGCATCGTCGTTGTCGGGCAACTAGTTGCGATCGCGCGTACGGCGACCGGATTAGTAACATTGTATCCACCTTCGTTACACAACTTCGATCAACCATTTATTGCAAACGCGTCTCACGCTCGTGCCGTCGTCGGCACATTAGATAACACTGACCATATATAATTACGAACGAGTAGCAAAAATATTGCCATTTCCTTGTCTCGATAAAGATATCTGAAAGTGGAGAGAGGCGCGAATACATTTCCTCTCAATTATCTAATTCAACGTTGATACTTCGCGGAAAGAAAGACGTCAATTTAGGAAATGTGTTCCGCCGGCGGAACGAGAAAAGTAACTGACATTTATTATCATTGTATTCGCCTCGCGTGGAAACTCCTTCTTTCTCTCTCTCTCTCTCTCTCTCTCTTTCTCTCCCTCTCGAAGGAATATGCTCGAGGAGTTTTTCTTCGATAAGAAGCATGCTCTATCTTCCTACGTTGTTTTTCGAGATCGAAAGAAACGTTAAAGCGACTGAATTAAATATATATCGTACAATGAAACACCCGACTGTCTCGGCTCCGAGTACACTTCGTTCACGCGTCTCGAGATTGCAACTGCAATTGTGTGATCCTCGTGAAACTCCTGCCGTGGCCCGTCGCGAATCTGTTGTGCAAGCTATTTCGTCGCGATGCAAAACTGTTGAGTTCCGTTTAAAACGTTCACTGTACATGGCTTCTCCTCGGCCGATCGAAGTGAATCGCGCGAAACGAGTCCCTCGCCCTTCGATCGCGAATATTGGGGCGATAACACGTGGCGAACAATGTGCTCATCGTTTTCGCGAATAAGACTAACAACACGAGAGCACACGTAGAACATGCGAAGGGAGCCGATCGAACGCAATAATCATGATTTCAATCGAATTCTCTCGTTGGGATCCTCTAGGGCTTAATTGATCGTGTCGAACGAGATAAATTACGTTTCTTGTTACGTAACGACTCCTTTGCATCCTTTAAACATACAATTGCTCACGTAACTGCAAAACATACTTCGTCACATCCCATCTACGAAATTAAAAAACGACGAACATATACGATGAACTATTCTTTCTTTCTTTTTTCCTTTGCTAGTACGCGCGAGTTTAGCGAAAGCCTCATTCACGATCATGACGACGATTAATATTCATTACTCATTGCTCATGACCACGCACACAAAAAGGGACAATTAAATGGCGATGAAATTCGATGCAGGACAAAGAACATGCAACTATCGCTATATATTATCATTGCAATACATTTATAAAAATATGCTTCTAGATGTTATTTAACGTTACAAAAAGATCTGAACACAATAGGCAATATATCATATCGCATTACAACGAAATATTAGTAGATATGTAACATTAACCTAAAGCGTTGAACTCGACAATCCAATCTGAAAATTTACACACATGTCGTAAAAAATATCTTTGTATTCTCCGTTGAACGGGAGTTCTCCCCACTATGATGATGAGCAAAGCGGAAATAGTCGGGGAAATGGAGTTCCAGCTGTCGTGCGCGAAGAATAAATTTCACGGAGTGACGCGCGATAAGTTATCAATTGACACAAGGAGAAACAACACTTGCGAGCGAAAAACAAAAGAAGAGAGTAAAAAATTATTGTTAAAACTATTATTCCAGTTGATGACGGGCGACTGTTCTTTAGTAAAATCATAAACATAATGGAGTTATGTAAATCATGTAAATTACGCGGATCATTATAACATATATATATAGATATATATGAATATGTATATATATGTATATATATTTATGCATATAACTAGTCAATAATCCTATATGTTACATATACAATTAGTAACATGTGTGAGATCTGAGAGCACGACTTCAAACTCAATCAACAAGCGGGAAACGCACATTTTACTATGATTTTTTGGTTCTCGATTAACGAAATCTAAAAGTATCGGTGCCGGCAAAGACACATCGGGTATGCTAACGTCACGGGGCACGCGTTAAAGCTACTGTGTGTGTGTGTGTGTGTGTGTGTGTGTTACAACTTACAAAAATAAAGTAGAAGAGATATACGTTCGGCGGAAAGAGATACGTATGACGAATAAGAGTAGTTTTCCCAGTTTCTAAGTACCGCTGTAATTGTAAGTGTTCATCCTGAATAAACTACGCGATTTTCTTCGACGTGCGCACTCCGAGCGACAAACGCGCGCGCGCGCGTGTGTGTGTGTGTGTGTGTGTGTGACCCGATACACACTGCAAAGTTTGTGCGCGGCGAAATACTTTGTTGATTGCACACAGAGTCTCGAGAAGCGTTAATGGTGTTAATGACAATAGCGAAGGCAGACGAACAATAATATGACACGAACGAACAAGATGAGGAACAATTGACGACGTGTTTAATAAGAGAGGATATGCACTTCACATCACAGTACCACGGGCTAAAAAAAGACATTAAAAGCGACACCGTCCCCGTAATGAGTTGTACAACAGCTGTATTTGATCAATTCATTCGATTTTAATAGCAATCTTCTAAACGGTAAATACATTGCGACACGCGTCGTCAGCGGAATAAATTCGCCGAGAAACGCGTCATGTCTGTGAAATATGTCTTAAATAATCATAATAGTATAAAGTGTAAACATGTAAATCGTACATCGCATCTCGTTACATAAAACAGGAAAACGTAAAGTTAAAAAAGAAAGAGGAGCGCAGCTGTTACGTGATGTAACAAAATCTGGGGGACTATATAAACTCGACCGAATTAGAAATTAACGAAGAGGTCGCGGTTATACCTGCAAAAAATTATAATTTATTTCGCCACACACACGTGTAAATTTTGATTGCCGCGCTTGAATTTGATCCGATGCGTTCACGCATTGCAGTTATAATTAAATAACGACATTACTACATCGATTCGTTAGAGACTAAAAAAGTAAATTCTACTTAGTGACCTGAAAATAAACGACTAATTTATTAAAAAAACAAAAAAAAGAAAAAAAAAGAAAAAAATAAGCGGATTATAAAATTCCCTTTTCGCGCTTTCTTACATTTCTTTCCGTTCACAATCACGTTTTATACAATTCAATTATCAGAATTAACCGGAAAATCATCGAAGCCGGCAATCTCGCTATTGACATTTTATCCCTAGTTTCAAAAGTAAAAACACCTTCGGTATTATTGGTTTGCGATAAATTTCATTCGCGGATTCGCGTTAAAGCGCTAAATGTTCCGCCGTATTCGCTCATTGTTTTCCAATGCAACTCTCTGTAGAGACTCATATAATAAGGCACACTTCTTTCTGCCTGTGAGAAGGCACTGAAATATAACGTCTATACTTACGTATAGTCAATTGCATTGCATACATGTAAATCATGCAAAGGAGAGAGATCAATTCGAAACGAGATACTATTTGATCGCGGATTATCATGTGTATATGTGTGTATGTGTGCGCGCGTGTGCATCGAGATTTGTACAATTTCACAATTCTCGCGAATTCACAGATTTTCTAATACCACCAGAACACAATCCTTTACGCTACTTTTTTTGTTGGTTCTTTCTCGACTCCAGACTCGCAAATATACACGGTCAACCGTAAAAAATAAATTTTGCCCTTCTCTCGCGCTTTTCCATTTGTTGTGCAGTTTTGTTTCTCTCTTTCTCAAATGTTCATTACTTTCGCGATGAGATACAACCGCGGCTCTTTCGAATCGAGGTTCCCTGAGACCTTTGATTTTATTTCCTCTAATTCTAATACTCGAGAAAATTGAACGGAGGACTGCATATCGAGTGTAAATGACAATTCTTCGTTCGACGAAAAAAAAACGCTTCTCTATCTGTCTTATTTCCCCTTTTTCCCCTTTTTCAACGCGAGTACGTCTACGATATTCTGCCGTTGGAAAGAAAAGTGCCTCTCGAAAATCGTAAGAAACCAATTTAGTTTAATGTACGTTCTCCTCTTAGCATAACAATATCCTACGCGAAATCGACAACGGGTCAGAGATGTGACAATGAGATTAAAAATAATACAAATTGACTTAAAAATTTCTCGCGGGCAAACGTTAAACGTCGTCCGATTCGCACCCTCCCGGGTCAACTAAATCTACGTTCACTTCCGGGGGATGGACACACGATGAGGACAGTCCTGCAGCTTCGTCCGCTTGCGTCTCTTCCGTGTATCGCCTGTCCTGTGTTGCGCGCAGTTCGAAACGGACCGCTGAGGATGCTCGAAACGTATTCAGAGTCCCGTGTGCACCCACTCTCCCGCGGCAGCAGGACGTTCGCGCCACCTTGGACGGCGGTTGCATTGTCTCGACGCTCGTGTCACGGTCGTGCGGTCGTTTATGCGGCAGATTCGATCTTTTCTCCGCCGCCGCCGTCGTCGTCGTCGCCATCGACGACGATAACGACGACGTGGCAATCGGTCGCTGATGCGTCCTACGAGGGAAACGTTTTAGGAATGGTGATGGTAGGAAAAAGGAAGACGGTGCTAGTACCCATACTCCATCGCATTTTGTGTGTCTCTCATTGTTGCATAAACAAAGACCTGCCTTAACGGAAAAATTGTGAACACTGTCGCGACACGCACCGGTCTTGCCGACCGATTGACTCGAACGTCAATCGATCGACTCGCGAGAAAAGAAAGTATTGCGAAGACGAACTCATCGTTTCTCTCTCTCTCTCTCTCTCTCTCTTTCTGAAGCAATCCCTTGTGTATCCTTCACGAATTCGCGCGTAATGGGGGAGGAAGATGAACAACTGTACTAACGTATAATTTTCGGATGCGAAAATATCGTTTTCCTTAAATAGAGATGTTGACGCAGCGCTTAAACTGCGGCAAAGGAGTCGTTAGTCGTGGAGAAGATGCGCCGGATCGGTGCAGACACGTCTCTCCAGCAACGCGCAGTATAGCCCGGTGCATCGACAGGAGGGGCTTGAGCGCACGCGCTGCTCTAATTCCTCATTATTTTTACATGTTTTCGAATATCACAACACACGAACACACCTGCGGCGCTCGGAAGAAAGAACGAGGGCGAGAGAATCTCGAAACGGGGGAAACATGACCGGCCGTGTACTCCTATATCGCGTTCTCCCTCCCTCCCTCCCTCCCTTCCTCCCTCTCTCTCTCTCTCTCCCTCTCCATGTAGCTGGTTCGTCGTACGATTGCTAACATTCTCGTTTCGGTTTACGGTCGCTTCTCAATCACACAGAAACGCATCGTAGATACACACAACGATGACGCACTGACCCGATCGATGCCAGAATCGCCGGGCATTACGAGCGATTACGAGAATCGACGTCGCGTCGACCGACGAATGTATATAATAACCCGTAAATACCAGGGATGGTCCTCTCTCTCTCTCTATCTCCTTATCATTTTCTCTCCCTCTTCTCACATCCTTCCTTTCTCTTCCCTCCGCTCTCTCCTCGGAGAGAGAAGAATCAGACTCCGTGCGCGCAGAGACCGCGGATTACGTCGTCCGTGCCGGCGCGTCCGTTGCGCGCGGACGGGCGCATCATCGTGATCGTGGTAATTGAACGCAGCAAACGGATTAACGGAACAACAACTCAATGGAGCTCGGACAACGGATCATTAGACATCATCGTGGCCGAAAGCGTCCCTCGGTGCGCTCGGCGAGGACCGCTCACCCTCAACGGAGAAGCGCGCGACGCACCCCCGCGCGATTCTCCCTTTTCACTCTCGCCGAGCCGAGGCCCGAGTCGGCCGTCGGGCGTACGCGCACTTAACAACGACCACCTCATCGTCGGAAGTTCGACGTACGTACGACGAACGACGAGAGCGACGGCGGCGACGACGGTGACGGCTACGAGCTTCGTCGCCGCCGTCACCGGAAGTGAGGCTCGGAGTCTCGGGTGTAAGCATCTATTTGGTAGGACGAGCGATCGGGTCTTACAGGGAATCGAGATTAAGGATATGGGTACGGATGGTAAAATATTTGGTTACAACTCCATGTCCTGGGCCTCGTCCTCACTGAAGTCGCTCATCGAGGACTCGCTGTCGGAGGACATCCCGTTTCCGGTGCCGCCGTTCTCCTGGTCCCTCAGCGCCTCCTCCGTCGCGTACTTCCTGACGTAATCTGCCGAGAAGCAAGTCGAACAGGAAATCGCAACGACTCGAGATGACACACTGTAGGCGCGCGAGCAAGCAACGCACGCGAGTCGATGTTAATTCGCTCCGAGTGATATAGACCGATCGGCGGCGATCGTGAAAGTCGCGTAATAATCCGCCACTTTAATATCGAAGCGTTATCATTATTATTATTATAAAGCCATTTAACAATTATATCACACCACGGGGGGGATCTATTAGCTTGCGTGACGGCTGTGATAATAGAAAGAGGGGAGTAAAAGTCATGGAACGTCACATTACATGACATAATTTGTAAATATGTACGTAGTTATTCACTTTGTATTCATGACACATTTAATTACATTTAATGAAAATTATTAAATTTTAACATGGTTTTATATTAATAATCAAAATATTAATTTCTATGTATTTATTCTTTTAAAGATACAATTTTTACTAATCAAAATTATAAAGTAAATTAATTTGATATTATACCTAAATATTATTTGTATTTTAGAAAAAGATAATAGCAGTCTGATAATTATTACCTAAAATATGGTTATAAGTTATTTTTTCCTTTCTTATTCTCGTCGGCGGGGTAATTTTACACGTCACACAATATTGGAAGGGAACAAATACTTTGTGACAAAATGTGACAAAGGCGAAGCGAAGGAGTTAAAATACCCTAATTTCGTGTGACGTAATTGTTGAATGGCTTATTTTTATTATTTTTGTCACTATGAAGTCGAAAATACTCACCCGCTACCTTTTTCTTGTACTCTTCAGGTTTGTGAAGGTACATCGCGGCAGCGTCGCCGTTCAGGGGGTCGATAGGATTGGGATATGTTAACAATTGGGGCAGGAAAGACTCGAAAATATTCGACAAGTCTGAAACAAGAAGGAAACACTTTCGTTAATAATCAGCTTGCAATTTCCCGACTCTTCTTTGTGTATCACAAAAACGAAAAGGCCTGTGCTTTTTAATAATATAATCACACACTTGCCCAACTATTCGCGGAAAATTTACGCTCCCAATTTATCATTGATTTCAGCGTACAGTATCAAAGAATCTAGCGATACCCAATGACGTTATAACGAATCGCAGAGAAATACATATATAGTTCGCTCGGTGAAATGAGGACAGACACCGCAAATCCGGTAAGGTGATTCTTCAAAAAATGCTGGATTAATTTGCACGTCCTATAAAGCACGGTTAAGCAAACGGCCAAGCGAAAGCCGTGCAAGGTACTTTAACGCGTTATTTAAAGGGCTTTGTCGAGCGGTTTTACGAGGCCAAACTAATACGTACCGTAAAGGGCTGTCCAAGCCTGGTTTATAACGTCTAGACACACGGTGCCTGAGACTTCGTCAATGTTAGGATGGTAGACCTTGTTCATGAAGCCGATTGAAGGAGACTTGAACGGATAATGCTCCGGCAGGTGAACCCTCACCTTCCATATGCCACCCTCGTAAGGCGCTGCAAACGATTGGACAAAACTATTAATTATTGCAATCAAATACCATCGATCACTACCGTTAACGACGCAACGGAGCGCATCCGCGATACTTCAGGTGCCGCGGCTCGATTTAACGCGAGGCAGGTACTCTCGGTGAATGTGTCTTCGTCGAAGCCGATCGACGATGGCACGCAAAAATGAGTATCCTTAATCCGTTTTTCTTCTCGTCCGAAATTCAGAGTTCGCGCATCCGCGTGAAACTGAGTATACATTGAATGAACGAACAAGGAACGAACAGCAAATGCAAACTGTTATCGTCGCTGCAATTTAGAAAATATATATTCCATTGCAAATCCAAATAAAATGTTTCGAATCGATTTGCTCATAAGGTTTATTAAAGATAATGCTTTATTAAAGAAAATCCGTGCGCGTTTAGACGCGAAAATACACATTTATATTGCACATTCGCTGTTCGTCCGTGGTTTGTTCGCTCAGTACATATCCACTTTAATATGGACGAGCATAATAATTTACGGTAATAATCCGAGTTGGCTGCATTAAAGCATTGTTAATTAATTATGATCGTGAATTATTCGAGAAAATATGAGTAGCACATAATGACCGAAACATAGTCCGCTTGTTAACTCGACTATGCCCCAACTCTGAAACGCGTCGACCGACTCATCACCACCACCTCGAGCGTCGAGAAACCCGTGACGAAGGTCACTTCTTTGTGCTTCAGTGGAACAATATTTAATATATAATGAGATAAATTTCTTTTATTGGAAACGAAATATTCTTTTCCGCAAGTAATACTACTTTTCCCATCAAACAACATAGTTTACTTTAATGAAACAACATTTTTATTTAAAACAATGGGTATTTGATATTATGTTATTTACATTACGAACAAACCCAAGTCAAGCAACCATATATACTAAATCCAATAAAACCTGTTTTTCTGTGTAGGATACTCTAAAATGGCAAAACTTCATGCGTTAAAGCCATTACGCCGGTCTGTGATATACAGCGGGATGAACAACCGGAAAACAACGTCGATACGACGTTCTCGTCGTCCGGATAAAATTTGCGCTTCGACGTGCATATCGGCAATCGCACCTCCGCAATCATTCCTCATCGCGCATCGCCCGCATCGTGCACATCCACCTCTCCTAGCCCGGCAAAACCGAGCGTTTTAGTCTCGGCCGCGATTCTTGGCCGACGCGATCGCACGTATACAGTTATCAACTATATGCTATTGGACAGTCTCTCTCTCGCGCGCGCTATCTCGTAATTTGCGATAGATCCGAGAAACTGGAACGTCCAACGGTAAAGCCGCGGGCACACGCTCCTCTCGAAGTGCCTCTTTCGTCGTTCCCGAGGAGAGAATAATGTTCGCGTGCGAGCGAGAAGGAAGATCCTCGTCTATTGTCGTTGGAGAACCCCGTCGAAACGCGGCCTGCTCTCTCTGCGGGGTCGGAAAGTTCGCTAAGAGCTTCCTACCCTGCTCGCGCTGAGCTTCGCGCAATGAGCGCGGACGATGGTATCTCGCAACAGTGTGGCGAGAGAACTCTCTTTATATTTAAAGAGCTTCCCTCCTCCTCTATTCTGCCTTATATAAATTACTGTCCATTTGCGAGGACGCACTTTCCCAAATGACCAAATTTCCCTACCCTATTTATAAGCAGCTAAAATTGTAAACTGCGAGCGAACAAGACCACCTAAGAGTAAGTAAAAGTACAAGTCGGATCGTCCAGATTATAAAGATGAAAAGATTTCTTGGGATTTAATAAGATTTCTTTGATTGAAACAAATTTGTCTTTTGGAATAAACAAGCAAACGAATGTTTGATTCAACGAATAAGATTTTTTGTTTTCAAACAATATAAATACCTTTACGTCAAATAACATTTTTTTTCTGTATTTTCATTCAAACATTACAACGATTGTTACAAACAATAAATTATTTGTAATATTATGTTAGTAAAATATTAAACATTTTGTTTCGTAGGATAATAATATTGTGTGTGTGTGTGTGTGTGTGTGTGTGCGCGCGCGCGCGCGCGTGCTTATTATGTATATATATACACAATATATATGTAATGGAATAATTTGTCCTACCGTTTTCTCAATCTTCGTTTAGCAACAGTCGAGAATAAAAAGAAAATTGATCATACTTGACCTCTTGAATTATTGTGATAAAAAACCTCTGTACTATCTTTATTTTTAAATCATATATCAAATTTTCATCTTCATTCTTCTTAAAACATACTTCGTGAGGGTTGAATCATTCTTGTATATAAATACCACTTAACTTTAAATTTAATAGATATACGCAATTAATATTATATATAGATATCACAATTTTTTATCAATTTTTAGGAAATCGAATTCTAGTCCGATTATTTCAGTAAATTGACTCTAGTTATTCCGATTCAAGATCGATAAAAAAATTGATATTTTCTAAAAGATTGCCCATCACTAGTTGTCGATCGATTGCTCGTCAATTCGCAAGGATCGCAGAAACGCCTCCGCGACGAATTTGTTGCTCATGCGAAACCGGCAACATGAGTTCGGAAAAGACAACGAACGCAATTCGACTGTGACGTATCTCGTCACGGCGAATTGTCAAAGTAAGTTGGAGTTGCTTTTGTCGCTAGCAACACCTTTGTGCCATGGTTAATTGCAAGAACGACAGACGGATGGATTAATAATCGGCGAAGCGCCGTGCGCGACGTAGTAATCAGACCGCGAATACAAAAACGAGATTAATTTCAACGGCGGAAAACGCGAATCGTGCGTGCGACGAGCGTACGCGATGAATTAATCGAATCGAAAGAAATATAGAAACTGATTTAAATTTCCTTCGCGATAGATTCATCGCGTTCGCGGCTATTTAATTATTCGATAGAAATTGTAACGGTGATGCATTGCCCCGCGCCAAATTTCGGGCGCGCGGTTGTATATCGTGGATACTAAAAAATTAAGCCGGGCCCAGGAGTGCATTTCAATTCCCATTTCGACCAAGAGCCGCAGTCCGGGTCGGAATAAGACAAATTTCTACGTGTATGAAATTCCGCTTCAAATTTGAACAATGAATTATTTAAAGTGTCATTTTCCATGTTGACTCAATTTCCTCTTCGAGACTCGGCTCTCTCTCTCTCTCTCCCGACATCCGCCTTTTTATAATTTATATTTTTCGTTGGGATTTTTCGTGATGAAAGAGAGAAAGAGAGAGAGAGAGGGAAAGGGGAGAAACTGCTCGACTTTCCATGTCTGACACTTGAATAAACAAACGTCGTTAATCAACGTATTTAAATGCATCTACGATATCATGGCATTATTGCTATGGCATGGTACCATTAATAACGCAGTGATCATTATGAAATACGATGCATTTATACATAAAATATCTCTCTCCTTCTCTCTCTTTTTTTTCTCGACGCAATAGTGAGATGCGAATCCGCAATTATATTTAAAGAGTAAATATGCGTGTATTTACACATGTATTCGCGCTCTCCTTCCGGCAGTCACGCCCGGCTGACTTTTGCTTCCGAAATGCGCGACGTGCACGTGCGTGAGAGCGCAAAAGTCCGCGCGCACGAGCTAATCAGAAACGTGATCCACCTGTGCGCGTGGACGCACGCATACACGCTCACGTTCCTACTGTTGCCGCAACGGATTCACGGTGAAAGTATCGATACCCACGCGCGAGCCCAACGCCTCGCGCACTACGTAAACACGAACGTTTTGTTCAAGTCCGATGGACGGCTTTAACCCTGTAATTTTCTCAATTACAGCTCGTATAATCGATCCTTAATGTTCTGGAATTCTGTTTCCTTTTATCTTCTTTTATGGAAAGTTCCTCGTTTACGATCGATGATCAATCTCGAGGAAGCAAACTTTTGGATTCTGACTTCCCGTGCTGGAGAACGCATTATCTCTAGCGATCGAAATATACTATTTAAAAATTGCGTGTTCGGCGCGAGAAAGGCGGCTCGCGAGCTCGAAATTGACTAATTCCGTCATTCTCCGACGCTATAACTTCTACCTTCGCGCGAGATCCATCACTTCTCGGTCGGATGCGCTCGTACATGGAAGAAATACTGTTATATAAACAGAATTAGAATAAAGTTTCTTGATTCGATAGCAAGATTGTTAAAATTAATACACGAAATATCTGAGGTAGTATTTTTCGCAACATAATAAATGGAGAAACATTGCTAACTAACAATTGAGTCTGCATAGTAATTAACAATAAGAGTCTTCAGGATATTTGAATTTATAATAACTCTGAGAATATTCGGCACATGTGTCGTTACATGCTGAATAATTTAACCCCTCCCGCAATAATATATTAATATTGATAATTTAATATTCAAATATGAACAATAACATCTATGCTTTTCTCCTAAAGGCTCGTTAATTTTTTCGTTTGGTTAACATTAATACATCTCTTTGGTTAACATTAATACATACACATTATTCCAATCAACCCAATAACTTTAATTTTAATAGCTCAATTAGTTACAGTAATTTTGAATCAGGATGATTTATTCCAATTACGGCGCTATCGATCAATTCTATCGTCATAACAACATTTCTCTCGATACGTACACGCGAAAAAAATCAGCGGGTATTCGCCTTGGCGCGGCTAAACTCGCTGGACGTGCATGCTATTCTTCATGCTTGCTCGCGTGAAATTTTGCGTTTGCTCGATCGATATTCGTGTCGACCACGCTCGCGATTCTGTTCTCTTCAGTTCGAGAGACTGCGGTTTCCGCGTGCTCGTGTAATCGATTGCGGGTGATGCGATCACGAATGCGATCACGAATACCCGAACGATACTCGAGACAGTCGCACGGACACCGCTAATAAAAATCAATCACACAGGTAAACGGACGAGAGTGCACGTTCCTAGGTGCGACTGAAAAATCGAAGGGATATAAATTTTCGACGTGTCCACGTTGCGTGCGCTCTCGCGTCCGTCCCTCCAGTGCGCGGTTAATTCCCACCCGAAG